GTGGACAGGTGGATGATGAGAGTGTGTTTCAGGTAGGAGGAACAGCCTGTGCAAAGGCCCTTTGTGAAAGTGGTTAATGTGCGAGTGTGAGGGGAAGGTGAGAAGAGGTCCAGGGGTCAGTAAGGCCATGAGGAGGAACTAAGACTTTGTACCAAGGGCCCCAAGTATCTACTGGAGGGACTAAGTCAGAGCTGAATTTCTGGGTACATCAGGGTAGAAAGAATCTGAGCCAGGGACCAGCAGTTAGCGTAATGGCTATGTTGCTGAACTCCCATGTAGTCAACAGCGGTTCGAGTCCCGGACCCGGTGACTTAAACTCACGCCAGGTGCATGTGCATGTGTGCCCAAGATCCTGAGAGGAGAATGGAGGAGAAGGGACTGCGGTGTGGCCATCCCCCCTGGGGGGCTGATTTCTCGCTTTCTAGCTCTCTGTCTCTCTCTGTCTTTCTGGCAAGCGCACACGCCCCATAGCAAAAACCTCTCCAAAAAAAAAAAAAAGAGTCTGAGCCACAGGTCATGCTAGAGAGGGAAGGAAACCCACCTCCCTCTGCACAGGATCACGCAGAAAAAGGAGGCTGTTATCCCATCTCTCCCCTGGTCTCCAAGAGCTGAGAGCCTCACCTGTTCCCAATCTTTGGCGACAGCATCAGTTTTCTGCCATTAAATAAGATGCATGCTGTACCTCTTTTTGGTAGATGCCCTCAGTCAGGTCAGGGAAGCCCCCTTCCCCAACCTGCTGTGGCATTTTTCATGAATGGGATGTCTCTCCCTGTGTTTCTGTCTCACTCTCCTGTGTCTCAGTTTCCCTTTCTCTCTGTTCTTACTCCTTGTCTCTGTGTGTCACTTGATTTCTTTCTGTCTTACTCTGTCTTTCTGTTTCTCTTTCTTTCTCTCTGTCTTGCTTTACCTCACCCGAGGGGGTGTGGCTGTGGGAAGTTGAATTTAGGGGTGGCATCAGTGTCCTGGTTCCAGCCGAGGCCACCTCAATAAACACAGGACATCCTGCGGGGCTGGGGAAGAAGAGCGAAGCTTCTCTTTAGGGACCACCCTCTCTGGACCCAGCCTGGAGCCTTGGCCTGCCCTGCCCAGTCACTGGACCCCACCCAGTCCAGCTAATGGGACTAACACCTGCCCTTCACACTGGCTCCTGCTCCCTGGCCCTCTCCACTGAACCCCAGGAGTCCAGCAGCTTCAATGACTCCCCGTGGGCATCCCCCCAGTCCCTTGCTTTCACTGTGTTCCTTCCCAGCCTTGACACCATCCCAGACCTGCTTCCTCCCTAGGTCACCATCCCGAGGTGGCCCTGCTATCTCTGTCCTGAGAGCCCTACCTGAGTCTCATCCTAGTCCTTCCATCACAGCTCCTGAGCACATGGCCTGTCCACCAGGCCTCTGATCTCTTCCTATTCTCCTATCAATGGCTACTCTATTTCTCCCCAGCCTCGTCCAACCACCACCATACCCACACAGCTGCCAGGGGTCCCTTTACCATGTGATTCCTCAGTGCTTTCGGAGCAAAGTGTCCAATCTACACCTTGAGCGTCCTTGTCCCTGGCGATCTCACCAGTCCCATCACATAACTTACTGCTTTCCCTCTCACGCAAGCCAAACCTGGCATCCTGGCATCCCTGAAAATATCACAGGCTTCCTCACCTAGCACAGGCCGTTCCCTTTCCCCTTAGAACAACAGCCCTTTGAGGTGGATACTGTTACTTTCCAATTTACAAATGAGGATCCTAAGGCCCAAAAAACTTACAAGTACCTTGTCTAGAGTCACATAGCCACAGAGTTCCATCCCAGGCAGCCTGCCTTGCAAACACAACCCCTACTCTGTAGCTATTGCTTCAATAACATCTCTGAGCATCGTTAGATTTCCACAATGAACTGAAACTGCAAACTGTAGGTGCTCAGTGAATGTTCATTGAATGGGTAAATGGGACAGGGGTGGAAGGTGAGCCTTGGAAGCAGAAGAGTTTAAGCCCCAGAGAACTGGGAGTATATTCTGAGGGCCAGGGCTGGGGAGAGACATGAGCAGCCTGACCTTTTACATAGAGCCAGGCACATAGGTGGTACTTAGATATCTTTGCTGAGGGGCTAGCATCTGGCCTAGTGCTTAACTCCCATGTGGCCAATAGCGGTTCGAATCCCAGATCTGATGGCTTGAAACTTAAGCCAGGCACATGTGTGTGTTTGCCCAAAATCTCAAGAGAATGAAGGAAAGGGGATTGAGGTGTGGCCATTCCCCCCTGGGGAGGGGGGTGATTTCTCACTTTCTGTCTCTTTGGCAAGCACATGCTCTCTGTAGCAAAAATCACTCAAAAAAGAAAGAGAAAAAGAAGAAAGAAAGAGAAAGAAAAGGAAGAAAGAAAGAGAAAGAGAGAAAGAAAGAAAACTTTGTTGAATGAGAGAAGGAAAGAGAAGGCAGGGAAGAAAAGGAGTTCAAGTGCGACCAGCAGATGGTGTAATGGTTACATCACTGGACTCCCACGTAGTTGACCACAGTTTAAGCCCCGGACCCAGCAGCTTAAAACTCATGCTGGGTGTGTATGTGTGCATGCCCAAAATCCTGAGAGGAGAATGGAGGAAAAGGGATTGTGTGACCATCCCTCCACCACCCCCAGGGGTGATTTCTCACTTTCGGTCTCTCACCTTCTGTCTCTCTCTGTCTCTGTGGTTAAAACTTGTGCCTTATAACAATTCCAAAAAAAAAAAAAGGCAGCTAGCCACAGCTCTCTCAGGTCTCAGAAAGAGAAATGTGTGTGTGGTGGGGACTCCTGTGAAAACCCATGGAGGGGAGCTTGTCTGGCGGCAACATGGCCAGAATACACAGAGGCTCTGTAAAATTTGTAGCAGCGTCAGGACTGGTGGCTCCACTAGGAATGGTGTGGGCTCTGGAATCCGCTGGTGGTGTGGCCTCCTGGGGTCGAACCTGAGGGTGGATCAGCACTCTAGAGCCAAGAAGCTGAAACAACCCTCTAGGGGTCGGATGTCAGGAGAGGGGGGTAGGTTCTCAGATATGAGCTATTTGTAAACTCAACTACACCAGGAGGGTGGGATCAGGATCATCTCGCCTGTATGATGCTTTAGTGCAAAAGCCATGCCCCTTCCTCAAGACATTTGATCTCCATCTTCCAGGAAACTAGCAGCAAATATGCATGGCAGCCCCTTAAATATGGAGCCTATGTCCAGTGTGCAGCCTGTGCAAGTGTTGTTGGAAGAGAGGGTGTCACTGGGCAAGTAGTGACAAGGGAAAAGTGGGGTGTCATTGACAGACAGCTACCAGCACTAGTAGGTTTCACAGATTATCCCTGAATTTACACCTGAAGAGACCGGAAACAGGACTGGCCTGCTGTAAATAGAGAATATCGTTGACCCCTTCACTGAAAAGAACCTAGTGGAACCTAAGGCTGTGGCACCACAGAGCCCCAGACTGGGCACCAGATGGCGTTGCTGAGCACAGCCGAGGCTCCTGAGGTCTGGGTCTTGAGTCTGAATATGGTTGCCCAGCGGCTGGAATCACCAGGGGCTCAAGTTAGGCACATGGAAGACCCCGGGTCTGGGCACCAGCTCCCTTCAGGCAATTTCCAACCCCCCTGGCCTCCCGCGTCACCCGCTTCCAGAAATGGGCACGACTTCCTCTGCTCCGCCAGGAAGCTCCACTCTGCCCGCCCCTTCCCGGCCCACGGGGCCTGCCTGAAGCTCCCGCCTCCCTCAGCTCCACCCCAGCCTCAGTCCTTCTGAAGCTTCCGGCCCAGAGGGGGCTGGGGGAGCTCTGGGGCCCAACGATTGTGGTGTCCCCTAACCAGTGCTGCCCTCATTCAAGGCCCTCTGGCCCCTCAGGTCACTGTCCAACTGTCTACTCCTCCCTTCCCCCACCCACAGCCTTCACGGTGACACTCCCCCCCCTTCGCTGGCACCGTAGGCTCTGCCCTGCCCCCACGGCCGCCAGGAAGGACGCAGCCCGGTCCCGTGCCAGGCCTCTGAGTGTGCGGGCCCCTCCCAGCTGGGCCAGGAATGCAGCTGGACCGCGGGGGCGGTGCAGACACCCGGGCTCCGGCCAGCCCCAGCGCACCGCAGCCAGGCAGGTGGCTTTGGCTTGCCTGGGCCTGGGTTTGTTCTGGAAGGAAAGCATAACCGCCTACCCCTGAGGGCCCTCCCTTCGTCCAGCCACCAAACCCGGTGACTTTATTTCAGAGACAACCTCTAAACTGCTTTACGTTTTGCTCAAAGAAAGATTCAAGACAGGGAATGGATTTTTTCAAAACTGGTTATTTCCCAATCCTTTCACCATTTTCCTGGAGAGCTGAGGCTCAGTGCTCTGGAAGAGGCCCTGTCCAGCTGCACTTTTTTTCTTTTCTTTTATTTTGTTTAACTTTATTCACTTATCTTAATTTGATTAGAGAGGGACAGAGCAAGATAGAAGGAGGGAGGAGAGAGAGAAAGCAAACTTCCAGGTCCAAGACTCGAACTTCAGTTGGCCACGTGGGAGTCCAGTGCCCTTAATCACCACAGCCACCTGCGGGCCACCCTGCTGCACTTTTGAGTTTTTATTTCTGAGCCTGAAAACTCCCTCCCCTCAAGGTACACAGGTAGATTCCAGGCAAAGATTAAATCTTATTTTCAAAATGAGGTGGCATGGACCTTCTCCTCCCCACCTCTATCCCATATGTATACACAGGCATATCAGGGAAACCTGGAACATTTGAAGGGTTCTTTAACAAACTTATGGAAAATGTATGCTCTGGAAAAACTATGCACGGATTTCAAAAAAAATTTTTTTGCACCAAAATAAACCTGTACCTCAGTTACATTTTCCATAAACTGTTTGAAGTCCCCTTCTATGTTTTGGAGAATTTGTCTAGGGGGCCAGGGACCAGGCCTAGTTGGCTGGCTTCTCAGGTCAATGAAGCAATAAAGTTTGTGATCTGAAACCCACCTTCTCAAGTGATGAGTTCTTTTATTATCTCACCCTCTCATTAATCCACAATGCAGCACACAGACTTGAGATTTCCCAGGACTTATTTTAATTTCAAAAAATGGTTGGGGTCTCTTCCCACATCAGGGAAGGAACAGCCCAGCTATGACCCCAGGGAATCAGTCCAGCATGAGGCTTGGCCCAAACACAATCCAGCCACCAGATTCTGTCACAAGGGCCCAATCCCAGACTTTCCCACCAGTCCTGAGACAAAAGTAGAGATGTGAAGTCACCCAGAACTGGATGCTGTCTCTCCAGCATGGCCCAAATCCTCTCTCTGTACTAGGGGCCAGCTGTGTCATTCCAAGGAAAGCTGGTCCACCCACCAGGCTCAGTTCGGATACCAGACAACCACTCCAGGTCTAGTGGTCAGCGCCCCGGCCCTGGTGGTCGCTCTAGTGCTTGTGTGCCCACCAGCACGTCCATGAGGTAGTCCAGCTCTGCCTCATCCAACTCTGGAGCTTCCTCCTTGCTCGGTCCATCTTCAGGGCCAGGTTTGAGGCCCTCAGAAGCTGGTACCCAAAGTTCACTGTCATACATGGAGGTATCAATGTCCTCAAACAGGCCCTCAAGCCCATCGTCCAGCAGACAGCCAGTGGCTGGGCCCAGCAGGTCCAAGGCACCCAGGCCAGGTGGGGTACCCCCAATGGGGCGGCCTGGCAGCCCTTCATCTACCAAAGGTTGAGGAACCTGGCTCAAGCCCTCAATGTGGCTGAGGTCCTCCAGGAGGCTGGCCATGGAGGCTGAGAGGGCAGCGTCCGAGCTGGCCAGTAGGTTGTCAGCCATGCTGGGGGCTGCAGGAGGGCTGGGCACAGGGGGCAGGGCAGCTGTGGGGGCCATGGATGCCTGGATCCGCCGCAGCGTGTTCACCACCAGCACCAGGTGCCGCAGGTCTGGCTCACTCTGTCGCAGGCTATGGTGGAGCTTGAGCACCGAGAGGTCAAAGAGGGAGCTGGAGGTCACAGTTGGGGGTGTATGTGCCACTGCTGGGTGGCCGGGATCCAGCCACCATGCGTCCACTGCCAGGGTTTCCTCCTTCTCCTCCTCCTCCCGCTTGCGCTTCAGACCCTTACTCAGCATTGTCTGCAAAAGATGAGTTATTTAGTCACAGAAAGCAAATGTTAAGTTCAAATCCTGGCTCTGACAGGGGGCTGTTGATGTGATCTGGAGCAAGTCACCTGACCTTTCTGAGCCTAGATTTTCTTGGGAACTTTTAAGGTATGGATGATAACTGTGTCTACCTCATAAATTGTTTTAAGGGTTAAATAAGGTAATAAACTAAAAGCTCTTACAACAGTGCCTGGTAACACAGTAATTACCCTTACTAATAAGTACTCTTAATAATAACATTATCATTGATTTCGTCAATGAACCATGTGGAATGGCCAATATTCAACCTCCTTTTAACCTACAAAAATAAATGGCTACTATACAGTCTAATATTTGTCTGCTATGTATCAAACAATAAGTTAAAAAACAAATACAGGCAGTACACAGTAACAGGAAGAGGGGCTCTGGGCAAGGAAGGCAACCGTTAGATGACATTTGAACTGAGCCCTTGAGCTGGAGAAAAAGACAGTCACAACGGCATGGGGGAAAGATTCCAAGTAACAGGAACAACAAGGCAAAGAAAGACCTGGAGGCTCGATGAACTTGAACTGAAAAGAGACCAGTATGGTTGGCTCCCAGACAGTGACATGGGAGGACACCAGGTGGGGGTGGGGAGCCCGCAGAGGCCAGGTCATGGAAGGTCATATGGGCAGATACAGCAACTGTAGAGCTTATGTGAGTAGGGAGTCACTGAGGGGTCTGGGCAGGGAGGGAAGTGGTGCTGTAAGGCTGATTTGATTAGGTCTCCAGACCCTTGGCTGCTTGGAGGCTAGGTTTCCAGAAGATCCCCCTTGGCTGCTTCCAGAAGGATTTGGGGGTAGGGGGTGAGGAGAGCTTAAGCTCCATGCAGAGGTTACAGTGCTTTTGAGGCATATGATGATGGCCACTAGATGCTGGTAGTGGACATGGAAGGAAGTTGGTCGACTCAGGATTTACTTCAAGACAGGACAGAGTTTGACAGGAAATCCTGATGGGCTGGAAGGTCCGTCCCCTGAAATAAGTTTGAGGACCCACACTCTTT